AAACAAAAATAAAAAGGTGGTCCTCTTGCTGTTGGTGTGTCCCACACTCCTGCTGCTGCCGTCGCACCCCTCAGCAGATGCGCGCACTTTTTGCTTCTTTGGTCATTTTCCTCGCACTTTCCTCTCCAGAGGTATCTCGTGCAGACCAAAGGAAAGAAAAGGGGGAGAAAAAGACAAAACAAAGAAAAGGAAAGTGCATCGTTCTATACATTGTTATATATATAATATAATATATATATATATATATATATATATATATATATACGACAGGGGTAACGCGCTGCTGCTGCTGTCAAAGCGTGGCAGACACGCAGGAAGGAAAAGAAAACAATACGTGTTACTGAGCAATCGGAGGAAGAAAGAGGGAAGGAAGGTTGTGTGTGTATTTGTCTCTTGCACTGCGACAAATGGCCATGACGGAGGGTAAAGGCGAAGACAAAAGTGGCTTCAAGCAGGGACGTTGCCGCACAGAGCCCACCATGCAACGCTTTGCCAAGACGGCGATCGGTGAGGGCTTCGAATTGTGGGACAGGGACTACCTCTTAGGTGCAATGCGGCTGTTTTTGTTTAAGGGGGAAACGGCGCCACCGTTTCAGGTCGGTCCCTGCATGGATGCCACCGGGGAAATTCTTGTGCAGATGGATGAGTACGAGGATGCGGGGGAGCAGTTCGCAGGGGCGGCGGCGAAGTACGCGCTAATTCAGCAGCCAGAGCTTGCCAGGCTGATGGAGATTAAAGCTCTAGAGTGCTCACAAGGTCCACAGGCAGCTTTGGAGGAGGTGACCTCATACCTTGCACAACAAGTCGCAGCGCCTATTTTTCGTGAGTTGAGCCCCGCACTTGCCCGTATACAAGCGTATAAGGCGAGCCTCATGCTAAGGACAGCAGCAGACGCAGAGACGACGGAGAAGGCAGTTGAGGCAGCGAGGCAGGCGTGTCACAGTGGCTGGGATCGCACCCATCTCGCCTACATCCTCGTGGGTGACGGGTTGCGGGCGCTGGGCCGGGTTAAGGAGGCGTTTGAGTCCTACGCCGACGCCGTGAAGTTCAATGCCAACTGCATCACAGCCCTGGAACGGCAAATAGAGCTGCTTAAGTTCCTCGTCTCCGAGACCTCGGACGTGTCGCAGCAGAACCAACTGCGCCAGGAGCTCCTGCAGCTGCTGGACAGCGCAATTGCGCTCCACCCGCGCTCCACTCTTCTGCGGGAGAAGGCCTTCTTGCTCAGTGAGACGGAGGGCGATGTGGCGGCACTGCAGTTCCTCGACCCGCTCTTGCAAAATCCTCCGCCTGAGGAGGCGGATGCGGCGGGCGGCGTTGCTGGTCAGACCGTCGCTACGCTTCTGAAGGCGAAGGCTGCGATTCTTGCGGATGGCGGCAAACTGGCCGAGGCTTTACAAGTCGCAAAGGCCGCGCTACGGGAAAGCCCCGGCGACGCGGAGGCGGAAGCCATTGTTACCGACCTGCAGCAAGCCGCCTAGCACTGCCCCCCCCCCCCCCCCGGGTGTGTGTGTGTGTTATGGATCCACCGCTGCTCTTTTGGATGCGAGCTTGCCCTTCCGCTGCATGAGAGAGGCAGGGCGTTTGAGTACATTCATGAAAGCAAAGGGTGAATTAAAAGAGAGAAGGGAATACGTGGGGGGTGGAGCGGGGGCGGGGGAACAAAAACCGTTGACAACTCTCTGAGGCAGGCTGAGCTATGAGGGTGAGTAGGGACGCGGAGACGAGTGAGGGGCAGAGTGCAAAGGGGGGGGGGGTGAAATGGAAAAGAAATAGGGTGAACAGCGACACAACAAGGGGGAAAAAAAAGCGGCAGAAGAGGAGTAACAATGTAAGGCAACCAACTGGAGGTTTGCCTCGTACTTACTTTTGCGGTAGAAAAAGAAAAGAAGGGAAGAAGAAAAAAAAAGGATAAAACAAACTGTAACCAGATTTTTATACCTTTGATAGGCGGCAAGCGCGCAAGTGACGTTCGATGTGGGCAGGTGTCTGCAAGATGGACATGTATCTACAGGTAATTCTGCCTCTGCCCGTGTACATGCATGTGAGTTGCACCGCCAGGAGTCGGGCTGTTCACTTTGTTTTGTCTTGTTTTTTAATTTTTTTTTTTTTGTGTTTTTTGCCCCGCCACTCCCCTCCCCCATTCTTCTTGTCCCTCGGCGTCGCCTTGCGCCTCGCTGGCCCGGCACCTCCGCGCACGGTTTGATGCCTGCCACCGGAGTGTGTGCGTGTGCATGTGGAGGCGCATGCAACCTTGTTTTGTTTATACAAACGAATGAAAGCAGGACGGAGAGAGAGGGGATAAAAAGGGAGAGGGGGAGAGCGTGGCGCAAGGGGCGCAGTGAAAAATGTCTTCCCTGCAACACGTGTGTGTGCGCGCGCGCGTCTTACTTTGTGTGTGTGTTTTTTTTTGTTTCAGTTTTTGTTTTGCTCTTTTAGCTGGTGGGAGAGTGAGGAGGTGGGTGGCGAGAAGGGGCACAACCGACGCCACATATTGTTTTTTTTTTTTTGTTCCAACGCCGCTGTTTGTTGATGTTGTTGCTGTTATTATTATTATCCACGGCCTTTTGTCACGGCCGTTGGGACTACGACTACTTTTTCCCCTGGTGAAAGGTATAAGGGAGCCGTGAGAAGGAATTCGTCGACGGCAGTGCGGTGGAGGGGGAAGTAGTGTCGCGCGCACAGAAGGAGATGGAGAGAGGGTGGGAGTGAGAAAGCAGCGCGGAGTCATTGCAGTATGTGGCCCTTTTGCCGCCGACATCGGATATACGTACATATATATATATATATATGCGCCGCCTCCCGGGACGCTTAAATGTGTTGTTTGTTTGTTTTTTTTCTTTTTTGGTCTTCGAAATACAGAAAACAAAAAAGGGAACTGCTTAGCTTGCAGTCGCAGCATCCGGTGTGGGCAGACAAATTTGTGTGTGGCGAGGTACGTGCATGCATCTTTGTTTGTTTGTGCGCGTTAAATTATTTTGCCTTTTTTTTTTTGTTCTGTTCTTGTGTGTGTGTGTGTGTGGAGGGCGCCGTTGATATCGCTACTGGCACGCCTCTTCTTCTTTCCACGCGCCCTGCGCGTGGCTCCAGTGACGTCTTGCAGCCTGCATGGGAGCCGATGTCATCTGCGGCCCTGCCCCCCTCCTCTCATGCGCTGATACGCCTCTCGCCAGCGGTGTCCATGGTGCCATGTGAACTCGCTCTCTTCCTCCCCCGTCTCTTCTTTGCCTTTTTGTTTTTTTTTCTGTCTCCCACTGCATGCCTCCCAGCGCCTTTTAAAAAAAGGGGCTGCCGCGGCACCAGCAAAAGTTAAGCTGAAAGAAGGAAAGAAAGTAAAAAGCCACACAAACACACAGACACAGAGGGAACATCACACAGCAAAAGGAAGAAGAAAAAGAAAAGAGGAAGAGGAGGGCTGTGTTAAACCCCACCGGGGCGTGAGTACTGTGCGTTCTCCACCCAGTTCTCAACCATTTCTCTTTTTGGTTGATTGGTGGTTGTTCTATCGCCTTCTCCTCACTCTTTCATTGTTGTTGTTATTTTGACTTTCGACCATACTTTGTTTTTTGTTGTTGTTTTTTTTTTTTGCTCTACGTGCATTTTTCTCCGCGGCGTCGCATATTCGTCTGTCCTTCACGCAGAGCAGAGCAACGAGGGAGTGTAGGGGTGTCCGCAACGCCCGAGACGAAAAGCAGCAGAAGAACCCAAGCGGAGACCGCGCCTTTGGGTTGCTTCATCGCCTTCCCCCACAAGGTGCCACCGCCGCCTTGCATCTCGCGCACACCGATTCATTTTTTTTTTTTTTGCTTGGTTGGTTGATTTTTGTCAGCCGTGACTCTGGGGTCGCTGTCGTTTTTGTTTTGTGCCCCCTCACTTGTGCAATAAAACATCTGCCTACCATGTCACACCTGTCGCTACCGGCGAGGCGGCCAGGCGCAGCAGCGACGCGGAGGTCGTCCTCGCCTGCCAGCGTCGTGTGTGAGTGTTTGAGACCTTTGGTTGGAGCGGCGCAGTGGCAGGCAGTGCCTCGTGTAGCGTGCTCCCGCTGCCCCACCACAGGCGCCAGCGCCGCGCGGGCCTTGACGGCGCCCACGCCCAGACGAAAAATAACCGCCCACAGGAGAAAAGGGCTTCATACGTTTCCCTCAGACCCGTCGCGGGAGCTGGGGCTGGGTTTCGGTACGCAAACAGGCTCGGCCCGGAACGACCTCGCTGCTGCAGCGTGTGCGGAGGATGACGTGCCTCCCGCGTCACAAACCCAAAAGGCTGCTTCATCGGCAGTGGCCTCCTCCTCGGCGAGTTACATCTCTCCAGGGGCCGTGCGGACCACCTCCGAGGCGGCAACCGTTGTTGCCGTGCATCGTGCAGCTGCGGCTGCAGGTGTCAATGAGGATAGTGGAAAAAAATTACGCGAGTCATTGAGTCGGCGTGGGTTGTCGGTCCACGCGACACCGTTTTGTCCGCGCGCGGCCACCGCCCTGAGTGTGGTGTCGAGAGCGGAGACGTCCGAATTGGGGCCTTTTTTCCCGTCTCAACATGCGCAGCAGCCGGAGGTGGGTAGTCGTCAGCCTTGGCGGACCCGCGCGCCAGCCCCGGAGTTTCCCCGCACGCCTTTGGCCAGCGAATTGACGGGCGTCCGCCTCCCCACCACGTCGTGCAATGTCGCTAGTGCTACTCTTCTTCATGTTTCTTCTGTGGCGTCATTTGGTGGTGGCGATTCCTTGCAACTATCAACCTCTCTACCGTCACCTTTGCCTGCGGCAACCACTCTGTACAGACCGCAGGTGCAGCAACAACAACATGTGCTTCACTATGCGTTCAGAGTCGGTGGTAGCAGTTCCGATACCCTTTTTTCTCCCTCCGACATGAGAGAAGGGAGCTTGGACAACGATGTTCGCCACCGCCGTGTTCCCTTCACGGATGCCGAGGCGATGGACGAAGCCGCCATGCTGCACTTGCTGCGCGGCAGCAGTAGCAGCAGTAGTGTCGCCTACCACGACGATGATGATGATGATGATGATGATGCCGTCTGCATGGAACAGCTACCGCATCTGCTCACGCTTGATGCTGCTGCGACGCTGCAGACAAGCCTGGATGCCGGCCACTACGCAGGGGGATTTTGGGACTTGGAGGGTCCCTCTGCTGCCACGCGACGCTTTCTGCACCGGGGCGCCTCGTCCACAGCCTCCCTCGCCTTGACTACGCAGAGCAGCGGGGGATCACCCACCGGCCCGCTGAGGAACGGTGCGACCAGGCGCTGGAGTGGTGGAAGCGGTTTCAACAACGACGGCGACGATGATCTCTGGGAGATGAACAGTAGCGCATACGCGGACAGCCTGGACGACGCCCAGGTGGAGTGGATCGAACAGCAGCTACGCGCCAAGGAAAACCCTGACGATTTCTTCTTTTGAGAGGTCGCAATAACTCAAACAGCCTCAAGCGCAAACCGCCCAATTTTTTTGACTGAGCCGAGGAGCAAGGAGAGAGCGAAGGAATGGGAGAACAGATTGGCACCTTTTTCTTCCATTTGTTTTGCTTCGTTCTTTTTTTTTTTTTTTGTGTGTGTGTGTGTTCTTTTGTTTGCTTGCTTTTTTTTTCTGTTTTTTAGTGGGGAGTGCCGGGAGGGGAAGTTGCTTTGCGTCATGTGCATCATGCCACCGAGCCACATGCGCGTTGGTGCGTCTTGGGCTAAGTGGGTGCAGTAACGGAACACCGCGTCGTGTTTGTGATTGTCTCATATATATATATATATGCATGTATATATGTAAAGTGGCGAGTGTGTCAGAGGAGGTTCCCTCTCGCCTCGAGAACTGGATGGATGGATGGATACCGGGGAGGAAAAGGAGGGGGGATGGATCGAAACAAAAACGGGAGGGAGAAGGGTGTGTGGCAGCACCGGCCAGGAGGGATGGTGTGTGTGTGCTTGTCCCTCGCGCGCATCCATCCACCGTTCCCTTCTGTGGTGTCTCGGGGGCTTCGCTTGCTTGCTTCTTTGAGGGGTAATTGGAACAGGCAAGGCACGGGCCAGGGGAGGGGGAGGGGGGTGGTGGTAGCAACGGGGACCGATGGTACTCGCCCCTCCCACCTTTTTTTCTCTCCTTGCCGCACCCCATCCTTTCACTCGCCGCTATGCCTCTTTTTAGTTTAGTTTGATGCGTTTTTTGCCGTATTTTTTTTTTTATTTGTGTAGGGCGGGAGAGGGGCTTTTGCTGCTCGTTTGTGTGTGGCTGCGCGGCATCCCTCGCTGCTGTCACCGGTCACCGCAACAAAAAAAAAAGAAAACAACAACAAAAGAAGCAAACGACGCGGTATTGAATGGAAGCAGGGCGTTGGAAAAAAAAAAACTTTGGGGAATATCTTTAGAAGCCAAACGAAGAGAAGGATAGTAAAAAAAAAAAAGTAAATGAGGGGGGGAAGGAAAAGAGAGAACAAAAGCAAAAACAAAAACAGAACGGTAATGTGTGCGTAGATGGGTGGGTGGGGGAGTGTGAATACCTGTATATCTATACCTATGTATGTGCCTGCTATTAACTGGGAGTGGGGGGTGTATGGCCTCTGCCAATGCGTGCGCGCCTGTGTGTAATATGCGGGGCGGGGGCCTGTGTGTAATATGCGGGGCGGGGGCCTCCGCTACTTTGGGAAGTACGCATGTTTTAGCAAAAATGGATACAAAAAACAAACAAACAAACAAACAAAAAAAACAACAGCAAACAAAACGAAAGTGGGAGGGAGTGGGGTACATTTATTATGTTAAAGGAATGTGTGAGGGGGCTGCGGTGGAGCGGCAGCCGAGTGAAGAAATGAGCAAAGGAAACGAATAAAAAATAATAATTAAAAAAAAAAATAGAATGCGAAGACGAAGACGAAGGAATCAAAACCGATTCATACGGCTTATTCCTCTGCGAGCTATATTATACCTCTTGTTATTGTTGTTTATCCTTGTTTATATATGTCTGTCAGCGTCTCTCTGTGTGTGTGTGAGAGAAAGAGAGACCTACCTCGCAGTGGGATTGTTTTTATTGGATTGTATTGTTATCTTNTTCCCCTGCTGCTGGTGGTGGTGTTAGCGGCGACGGTT